TTAGGTCACGAAATTGACCAAGATGGTATTAGACCCGGCGCCGAGAAAATATCCGCAGTTTCTGAGTTTCCACCACCTACCAACGTTCACGAGGTGAGAAGGTTCTTGGGCCTCACGAGTTATTTTCGAAAATTTATCAAGGGTTTTGCCCAGATAGCAAAACCTATTTCAAACTTGACAAGAAAAAAATACAAACTTTAGCTGGGGTTGCCTTGAACAGCAAGCATTTCAAGATCTGAAAGATAGGTTGGTGACTCGCCCTGTGCTGGCGATATACGACAATCTCGCAGATACTGAGGTCCACACAGACGCCAGTAAATTTGGAGTTGGAGGAATTCTATTTCAAAAACAATCGGATACGAATTTGAAACCAGTAAAATACTTCAGTAGATCGACTACAATAGAAGAACAGAAATACCATTCGTACGAGTTAGAGACCCTGACAGTCGTCAACAGTTTGCAGAAGTTCCGGATATATCTAATTGGAAAACAATTCAAGGTAGTGACAGACTGTAATGCTCTGAAATCTACCCTGACAAAACGAGACCTGATACCGCGAATAGCAAGGTGGTGGTTAACTATTCAGGAGTTCGACTTCACCATCGAATATAGACCGGGACCAAGAATGTGTCATGTAGACGCACTCAGCAGGAGTCCGGTCGAATGTAGTGAAGGTTACGACGATATTCAGGTCGTAATGCCAGTTAACATCGACGAAGGCGACTGGCTGCTTTCTGCTCAGTTGGAAGATAAACGATGCAAATATCTACATGAAGTTTTAATGCGAGCACCACTCGACCCAAATGAACGAACTATCCACGACGAGTATGTCCTGAAAGGTAATCGATTATATCGAAAGACGAATAAGGGGACTAAGTGGGTAGTTCCTAAGTCTTCTCGTAGGAGACTGCTTATGTACTACCACGATGGTAACGGCCATTTCGCACTAGACAAAACTTTGGAAGTTTTGAGCAGCAGATACTGGTTCCCATCAATGCGACACTACGTTAAAAATTATATATCTGCGTGTCTGGGATGTCTTTACAATAAGCAGCCTTCGGGAAAACAACCGGGTAAGCTCCATTGCATAGATAAAAAGGATATTCCGATGGACACTCTTCATTTAGATCATTTGGGGCCATTTGTCAAGAGTGTCAAGAAAAACTCCTACTTGATAATCGGAGTGGATGGGTTCACCAAGTTTACTTTTATGAAGGCGGTCCCGAGTACCAAAACTGAACCGGTCATACGGTTTCTGGAAGAGATTATAGAGACATTTGGGGTTCCGAGGAGGATAATTAGTGACAGGGGAACTGCTTTCACCAGTAAGACGTTTTCTGCTTTCTGTTCTAGTTTAGGTATAAAGCATACGTTGTGCGCAACTGCAACTCCCCGAGCGAACGGCCAAGTCGAAAGGATGAATCGCGTAATCCTTTCCGCAATAACAGCATCTACTGAAATCGAGGAACGATGGGACGAGGCGGTAAGTCGTGTCAGATGGGGCATCAACACCACCATAAGCTCCACTACCGGAAGATCGCCATACGAGATATTGCTCGGCTACCGGCCCAGAGGTGTATCAGACGCGTTCCTTAGTAATGAGGTATGTGAAGACGTGCCAGTGGATTTGGTTAAAATAAGGGCTGATGTAGCCGACCAGATTATAGAAGAGCAACAGCAACAAAAACGGCTTTACGATGCCAAACGAACCAATCCACAAAATTACCATGTTGGCCAACACGTTCTATTGAGGCGAGCAAAGTGCTCGAACGAAGGACAAAGTAAAAAGCTCGAGCCACGATATCACGGTCCTTTCGTCATAACGACTGTCCTGGACAATGATCGATACGTGATCGAAGATATACCTGGCACGAAACGTTCGCGTCTAGCGTATAAGGGGATATGTCCCTCTGATAAACTGAAACCGTTTACGACGGTAGTCAGTACGGACTCATCAGACACGTCTGACGACGAAGCCTAAAAACCGTACCTTATTCTAATGTTCAATTATTGTATTTTGCAGGGTTGAGAGCGGCACTCCCAAGACCTTAAGCTCCATCTTCCCGAGGTCGTGAAGGTGTCAGGTTAGGCCGACTATAAGCGATCCGAAGGAACGACCCTGTATTTCATGTTCGTTGGGTGTTGATTCACTATGGGTTATGTAAGGAATAACGGCTGGAGCGAATGAGCTGGTATGGAATTTGGGATGATAGGAGGCGAGTCAGTATGCTCAACGCGTTCAGTGGGTGATAAACTGTAGTACCTCTTTTTGTTTTTCAATATACTTGTTCATTTACGTTTTCGGGTTTTTCTGAGTGTTAGTCCAATTTAGCTGTTTATACGTTCAACGTCCGCGAAATGGAACGCGAACGCCGAACGCCACCTGGCAAGGAAAGACACACTCCAAAACAAGATCCCATTTCAGGTGAAATGGGAGTGGCTGGTTGCCCAACTGGCGTATTTTCAACTAGGAAAAAGCCAAATACCCAAAGTGGAATGCAATGGTCACAAATAGAGAGAAACTCAAAGTCATTACCACAATAGTTCATGAATGAACGAACATGGTAGATAACGAGAGAAAAACAACTACTTTCCTGACTATATGCCACGCAGAACATTGGGTTACATCCGCCCGAAATCTATGCAATAATTCGAATAGTTGCTGTTCTTTCGAAACCCTTCATAGAAATCATATGAAAATTCACAAATGGGGGTTTGAAACCATGAAGAACAATATTATGAGATCAGTTTTCCTGTCAAAAAATTTATATCATGATTTCATGAGAAATTGACCCCATTTCAATTTGATAAAAATGCACGGCACTGTCTAAAATGACGTTCGTCGTGATAGCTGAGTTATAGAGGGAGGGCCATTTGAAATGAGACACGATGCATATACACACATCATCAGTCTCATTATCAGTCTCCTTCCTAACGAGACTGGTGATAGGTATATATATACAGGGTGTTTCATTGGGAAAGGTAAATAATTCGACTGTGGATAGGGGTCACTGGGGTGATTTGAAAAAACCCATGGTTAATGGGTCTTCGACTTCTTATAACCGAGATACAGGATGTTTCATCAATTTTGTCCATATCTTCATTGTCTCATAACTTTCCAACCAACCTGTATATATTTTTTCAAAAATTGGTACACTTGCTCAATCTACCCTGTGGAATTGATTGAGGCAACAACAAAAAATAAAATCCAGGTCCGGCTTCACTTAAAATTCACAAATTCTTTCTGCCAGAAAACAACACCCTATACATTCGAATTTCTCATTTTTTTTTTCATATCTGAAATGAACATCAAAATTTTTATTCAACGATGTGCTTTTTATTCGTGCACAGTCGATTTTAACTATCCATATTATGTGCTCAAAATATTATTTTTGCTCATTTTGGGGTAGAGAATTGGAATCAGACGAGATTTGTTAATTTCATTTCTTCCTATTAAGTATACGTGAGTATTACATTTAGAAGGAGTATTTAATATCGTTCTTTGTTCCAGACTTAATTGCAGGTCCGTCATCAAAACTATACAGGGCTTTTCACGATGAGGTAGCAGCAACTTCGATTTCTCAAATGGGACACCCTGTATTTCATTACATCCTTGGATTTTTGGTGAACAGCAGAATTCATCGATTCAAAACATTCAAGGTCTAGCGGGACTGATAACTGAGATAAATAGGATGTGGAAAATCGAGATGTTTCAACTTTAGAAATTTTTTGTGTTGAAACTATTCATTATTGCATGGTCAAAACGGCTTCAATGTCCCTATCTCAACTTTCCATTCGATATTCAATTAAAACAGATACAGGGTGGCGCAGAAATCTGGATTATGAACCATCCTGTATTTGTTTCGAATAAATGTCAATAGATACAAAGTTGAGATGGGGACATAAAAGCCGTTTCGATCAATAATAAATATTTTCGCAAAATAATTCTAAAGTTGAAACATCTCGATTTTTCTCACTCTGAATATCTCGGTTATCAGTCCCACTAGACCCCGAACTTTGTGAATCGATTAAATTAGCTCTTCAGGAAGCATCCAGGGTGTCCCATTCGAAAGATCTAAGTTACTGCTACTTTCGAGTAGAAGCGACAACGCCGGATTGTTTCAAATATTTCAGACGTGTAGATCATGTTAATTTATACATACCTTCGAATTTTTAGATTTATCCGTTGCCTGGTGTGCCAGAAACATCTAATTAACGCTTATCGTGAAAAGCCCTGTATAGTTTTGATGACGGACCTGCAACTAAGTCTGGAACAAAGAACGATATGAAATAATCCTTCTAAATGTAATACTCACGTATACTCAATAGGAAGTAATAAAATTAATGAATCTCGTCTGATTCCAATTTTGTACTTCAAAATGAGCAAAAATAATATTTTGAGCACATAATATGACTACTCAAAATCGTCTGTGCACGAATGAAAAGCATATCGTTGAATAGAAATTTTGATGTTCTTTTCAGATATGGCAAAAAAAATGAGAAATTCGAATGTATAGGGTGTTGTTTTCTCGCAGAAAGAATTTGTGAATTTTAAGTGAAGCTGGACCTGTATTTTATCTTTTGTTGTTGCCCCAATCAAATCCACAGGGTAGATTGAGCAAGTGTACCAATTTTTGATAATATATTCAGGTTGGTTGGAAAGTTATAAGACAATGAAGATATAGACAAAATTGATGAAACATCCTGTATCTCGGTTATAAGAAGTCGAAGACCCATCAACCATGAGTTTTTTGAAATCACCTCAGTGACCCCTATCCACAGTTGAATTATTTACCTTTCCCAATGAAACACCCTGTATATACATCAGAAACTATTTTTTCAATAATTTTATGCAAAACAATACGTTGAAACTCATTTCCAACCGTATATTTCATGATAACTCTCAGTCCTGAAATGGGCCAAGGCAATGACGACGAGAGATCACATCTTTCCATGTGTAGATGATATTGAGGAACACCCTGCATATATAAAACACTTACCCTTCTTCTTCATAGGATGGGCTACGATTCCTGGTTTCCGCTTTGACCACTTGCATCCAGTCCCAGTTGCTCTGAGAAGTATCGACATTGTAAGACAAATCCGAACATAATGGCATACAGTTACACACTGGTGGTTTCTTGTAAGCCATAGTCACGTTTCTCCTTTTGAAAAGTTTGTGTGACGTTTTCGTCATTTTGTTCCGCAAATCTCCCAGTTCGAACTTTTCTTCAGCTATATTCATGCAATCTAAGTTCCCAATACCGCATATCTTTGTATCATGGCTTCCTGAAAAAATGAATAATTATTTCGATGTCTAAACTAGATAATCCATGATCGAAAGAGATGGTAGATGATTGAAAACCAATTCAGCTACTCGATCCTAACCATAAATCATAAATTTTTTGATATTTGATGAGGGTGAAATGATTTAACGGAATACATAGATTTTCTTTCCGAAGAAGAAGAACAGCCAAGAAGTATCGAAATACCTTGGTGTATATTTTGACAACAATAGGAGTATGGAACAATACAAAAGGACTAAGGCACTGGCAAACATCAGCAGAAAAATGCCAAACATAGGCCCAAGAGAGTGTAGCAGGCCCATACTATGCTCTGTAGTACAATCTGTATGCAGCTAGTATTTGAATGATGGCCATGGAAAAGGAAATATACAGAAAAACACAATGAGAATTGACAACGCATACAGAACGACATTGATCAAGGCCCTGCTGATAATCGAAAGAACGCCGCAGCTCCTAGCAGAAGAAAGAAAGGATGTTGAAAATAAACAGTCCAGAAAAGAGCCCGTGCACACTTCCTAGAAATGTGGTAGGAACAATGGTAAACTAATGATGGTAAAGCCGAATGGACAAAGAAGATATCCCAGATATCAGGTGAATTGTCACTTGACTCAGACACTAACTGGGCTTGGGGCCATCCAGGCAAACCTGCATAAATGTGGCCTGAGTGACTGCGTTAGTAAGTTGTAAGTACATATAATGTGACATGTGCGATACAGCAGAACACACGTTTTTCGAATGTACACAAAAGATGAACGGAACAAAGAATAAGATTGGAGAGACAAATAGGGCGACTACCTCCAGAAAACATAGGTATGAAAATGCTACAGAAAGAAGAATTCTGGAACAAAATGAGCCAGGCAGGCATTGACATTATTTCCGAGAAGAGGAGAGATATAAACAGACCAAGACAATGAAGACAACACAGAGAAAAGCCCCACCATCTGCAGGAATAGGAGTCCATCCCGGAGTAATAACACAAGGTGGTTCCAGGAGGACGTTTCCTTCCTTTACATAGTGCTTTTCTATTCGGTAAGAATCCGGCACTGGTTGGTCAAAGGGCGACCAATGCAACTTATGTGAGGTCTTTCGACTCTATTGAAAAGAACTCCTACCACACTATGACTACTACATGATTTCGAATAGTGATTTTGATATTTATATGCATTTATGGTTGCTTTGGCTATCTCAGAGCTAGCCTGGGGGCTATCCTCGAAGTATCTTCTGAAGGACGCCTGTCCCTACAAATTGTTCAATAAATATTCATCTGAAGCTTAGGGAAGATATGAATGTACGAGTAATCTCTGAGAAAATCCTGATTTTGAAGGAAAACGTTGAAGAATAACAGAAAATATTGATTCTAGACAATGATTTTGTAATTCATCTGAATTTTATGTTTACTTTGGATATATGTTGTAGCTTTCAAAAAAATAGTTTTTGCAGGATAGTTGATACAGATCATCGATGGATATCTTATTATGGATTATAAATCCTATAGGATACCCTGACAAGAATCGGAGATGAAACGAATATCCACAGAATATCCTGTATTGAGTTGGTAGTATACTCACTTGGCATGTAGAAGTCTACACATCCACAATAGTACAGTGTATAGTTCGTCAGACATTCCAGCCTGCAGTTATTCCCAGTGTACATTTTGAAGAACTTCAAGGGTTTTTCGGAAGAAAAGTAACATTCTCTGCGTCTTGCGTTATACATCTTTACTGCATTGGAGGTGGTAATCATGACTGGATGAATTGCTGCTAGTACCACTTCGTTGAGGGGGACCTGAAAATTCCAGTTTGGCACCTACTATACGGGGGATTTTCGGGAAGTTTTGAATTTGTTCCTATATGTGATATTTCGTTAATCGAGATTAAATAGCGTGTTTCATTATAGTTGCATGCAATTTTGAGGAACGTTACTGTGGTATCCACTAACGTTTGAAAATTCACATCGCAATGGTAGACAACTAGCGAAAAACGATTATTATCCTGGCTGATACCACACAGAACAATGAATCACATCACATTCAACATAGATATACTTAGATTCCTAATTCGTATCCAAATGTCCATAGGATATCCAAATTAGATAGCTATTCAATCGGATAACTAGAATTATTCTGATAAAACAAGCTGTATACGCAGAGAGCGTTTGAAAATATGTTGAGGAAAATAAGACCTTGAATCATTAAAAATACCTCTATAGCTACCAATCCTATCAATCATCCTTCAGAAATCTCTTGATTTTCCATAAGCGTTCATTTATTTCCCTATAAATTCCCTATAACGTCCGAATGATATTCTTACAGAACGCAAACTTCTCTTTCTACCTAGGATATCTTATAGATATCCATGAATATTTCATGAATGTATAAGTTGGTGGCCATATCGGTTGGTGTCCTCAGGATAACCATTGAACGTCTATAGCATATCTGTTGGGCGAAAAATAGACGTCCATAGAATATCCAAAGTATACTGTATGGATATCAATTGCACATCTATCAGATGGTGTATGGGATTCTCACGAAATCTATGCTAGATGGCTGAAACTACGGTGTTATACGATTTACTTCTGTATTCGCAATTAGAAAATTGTTATTGAAATTAAATTCACATTGATAATAACTAAATAATGTTCTGAAATATCTGTCATAGTGAAAATATAAAGTTCAGGCCAAAGTAACGAAAATCTCTTGTCTGACCCAGCACCTAGAACAGAGAGGAAGTAATATGTTTTGATGAGTCACCAGATTGCGCTACTGAGACGTGAGGTCAAGGTTGGTATACCTGTTTGGTATACTTCTTTTCTCACTCCATATAGCCACTTCCTACTCTATATATTATTCTGTTTTGATGTGGAAGTTACACAAACAGTTCCACATTACACATGAAAAATCCAAGCCCAATCAAGCCTAAATTTGGTTTTTGTAATCCTTCACATAGGACATGCCACTGTTATTACAAGTTTTCAAGCAAACGGGTCGTTGATGACCACAAGCTCTAGTAGCGTCCACTCTTGAGATTGAAAATGTAAGTTGTTATTCAGGAATCTCTTATCGAGTTTTCTTTCAGGCAGATCGCTTCATGTGGTGGTGGACAGTGTATCGTCTGATACCATTGGCATCAATTCCGGCGTTCTACAAGGATCAATTTTAGCACCAACATTATTTCTTTTTCATATCAATGATCTGTTGGGAGTAACAACTTGCCCCATCCATAGCTTAGCAGATGATAGTACCCTCCATACTGTCAAGATATAATGATCATTCGTATTTTATTCAGTTATTTTAAATTCCAATTTTTAGTCTTTTCCCAGTAAATATATTATTCATAGCTAATTTTACATTTCCGGAAGACAGTTCAGTCGATCGTAGTTGCCAGGAAATCAGGAATCCAATTTCAATCAGTATTATTTTGATTTGCAATCTTTTTACCAGGTCGCTGGCACCTATGATCGGGTAAATTATCGCTGACGGAGTATTTTTCGAAACAAGGAATATCGAGTTTGATGAAAAAGCCGGCATTACGATTAGGGATCGCGAGTAGTGCGATCACGCGTTTCATTCTTGAAGTAAGTTTAGTTTTTCGACACACCGCGCCCCTCGAGTTCCACCCCCATGGAGAAGCACGCTCTCTGGTGAGTACATGATTTCTATGTTATATTTATGTTTCATTTTTATATTTCCTCATATACTATGTGTTCTGGATATTTTGTCTCGTTGACGCTCGACATCTTTTGTTTTTGTATTTTTCACTCATTTTTGTAGTCTCTCAATTTACACCCCAATGTGAGCTTATGATTGAATAAAAATTCATGAATTTGTTAAGTTGAATCTAGCCCCATTATTCTGCTGCCAAGCGAGTAACCCCTCACTGGTCATAGGTTTTAATGTCTCGGGAAGGATTATGGGTACTTACAATTCTACCCCTAGAGATTTAAACGTGACATATGGTGGAGGCGCCGAATTAATTTTGACGCTAATTCTCCGAAATTAGCTTTCTTTTTGTCACAGTTTGATTATTCTCATACTGCTGAGTAATGTTACATATTTTTTTTTCCTACTTGAAAATAATTAGACCGACAAGATAATGGGGGCTTTGGTTCATTTTCAAGAGTATTCTCTCTAAAAAAAAAAAATAAAATAAAAAAAAAAGTAGTTCTTTTCGAGGGTGCATATCAGAGGGAATGTTGAGGGCGCTTCAATTTTTTTTTTAACTGGATCAATTCCTTCTTCTTTGTAACATAATCTGACTATTTAGTTTTCCTTTTCACTTCCACATATCCATATGAGTATTTCTTGTTTTTCTGACGAATAATGAGTAAATATATACATTTTTCAAGTCTAATATTGAACAATTTCTTAATTTTTGTGATATGACTCGGGAAATACTCTAGTTTCGATGTTGAATTAATGTTACTTGATTTTTTTTAATTGGGATGAACACAACTTGATTTCAATATTATAATTCTTTTTCGAAAAGCTGATGTCGAGCGACAATGAAAAACGTATAACACGTTCTACCAAATTGCGATTGGAGTCTCTCCCCGCAGAAGTAAGTTCTTTTACACCACCCTTTCGTAGCACTGACCAATTTAATTTTAACGACCCCTTCGCTAGGTCGCCTTTAGTAAATCGATCTCCTGAACGGCAACAAAATCATTTTCTTTCTAAAAATCAATCAGTTGGGGCTTCAAGGAAATGTACAAATCTTATAACTGAACCTGATTTATATTCCAATGAGGGTGGCTTTGGTACCGCAGGTTTAGAAAGTAGATCAAATAATCAAAATCCAAAAACTCCTCTCGTAAATCTAGAGTCAACTAATTCTTCTAGGGCAAATAGCCCGCCGCCAAATAACACCTCATCAACAGGAACATCTTCTAGAGTATCCACCCCAGAACTCAACATGGGAGACACAACATTCGCGGATAGTTTGACCCAGCCTAAAACCCCCGCGAAACCAAAATTTTTGTGTCCCTCAACGTTCAACCCTTGCACATCAAATGCAAATTCTTTCTTGAAACAATATGAAAGAACTAGTGCTGCAAACGGTTGGGACGATGGTCTAAAAATGGTTTATTTCGAAACATTTTTAGAAGGGGCAGCCGAACAATGGTTCAGGCGATTCAAAAACGACAACAGTAGTCTAAATAAAACTTGGACCAATATAAAAAATGATTTCCTGGAGGAATACGGTGAAGGTGAGGTGAAAAGGTCTCTAGAGCGAAAACTTTACGCTCGAAAACAAAAGCCCAACGAAACAATCAAAACGTACTATTTTGAACTTCAAGCATTATTTGGGGAATACGACCCCAACTATGATATCGAAGAATTCAAGAAATTCTTCGAAAATGGTTTGCGTCAAGACTTATACCCCAACTATAGGTTAATTCTGGAAGAAAATGTTGATTGGGGAAGATTCAAGAAAATAATCGACAAGCTTGAGGACATTACCACTTGTTCGATAGGGGCCACGTCAATAAATTATCCACAAAACATAGGTAACTGTAATAGGTGTTGCCATTCAGGTTCATGTCAAAGTACCCTTTCACAGAGCCACAATCAAACGATATACCCAAATATCCAACAAGTTAACAATGGCTATCACAATGCAGAAAATTTTTCACAATTTCAAAATAATATACCACGTTTTGGACAATTCTCAGGACAAACGCATTACCGACCAAATAACAATTTTAGATATAACCATCAACCTACCAGAAACTTTCAGCAAAAAAGTTATTATCAAAGCAAATATCCTGATAATGGTAGGAATTATCAACCACGATTCCAACAGGACACCTGGCGGAATGCGAATATTAGAGAAGTGCCTAAAACACAGGACCATAATAGAATTCGATTTGAAGGTCCGAAATATCTTAATAATAGTAGTCAAAATCAACGTTTTCCTAGAAATAGTGCGTTGCCTGAAACAAGGACTAATGACGGACGCCCAATATGTTACTTCTGTCATAAAATTGGACATTACTCTAGTACCTGTAGAGAAAGACAGTTCGATAGCAAACACCCAAACGGGGATGGACGTCGATAAACCCCGCCGCCGTCCTAGCGACAAAGGGGATAAATAATATACATTCGGATATACTTACGATTACTGTAAAAATTAATAATATTGAAACAGTGGCAATCCTCGACACTGGAGCTCATCTCAATGTAGTAACGAAAGCGTTATATAATGGGAAATTCATAAATAATTGTAAGGGTCAGAATTTACTCGCGGCAGGGGGAGTAAGGGTCCCTGTGATAGGAAAAACATCCTTTCACTTGAATATTGCTGGTTTAACTACTATTTGCGAAGCTATAGTAATAGAAAAATTGCCTCACCCCCTGATTTTGGGGATGGAATTCTTAAAAAAATTCAATGCTGTAATAAACTTGCCTCAGCGAAACATAACTTTGTCGGACAAACACAAATTAGTCAAAATTTCAATGAATAACGATCAAAAATCAAACAAACAGTCACACCACCCTTTTATCAATTTTTATTACAAACCACCCTCTCACATTGATAATAATTTATACCAATCACAGGTTTCTGAAACGAATCTATCGAAAGAAGTATTATCGAATGCGTACAGACAAGAAGCACTCATCAATATCAAAAATGAATTAGATAATATAAAAAATACAACCACATCAATGAACGAATCTGATTCTAAAAGAATTCAACACATATTAACTCTGAACAGAAATAGTGACGCGAATAGTATCAATAGTTCATTATCATCCAACTCAACTAATTTAACAGATAAAAATGTAG